TAATTCCTTCCCCGAAATCTTATCATACACCCAAATGTCCCTTATCCTGGAGCCCAGATCTTGCCCTGAATTGCCATAGATCTCAAATACTGACCCCGAATCATACATCTTAAGGCCTTAAGCAAAACGTAGAAACCCGCCATCCAGGATGTACTCCTGCACCCAGCCTGCGTTCAAGCCGCGCGTGAGCTAGAGTTTGAGACTTATATCTAAGAAGGTTAGGGCTTCGAGGATCAGGGTTTAGGATTTGGGGTTCGGGGTTCAGGTTCCACTGCTGAGGGTCCGTGGTTTGAGGATTCGTGGTTGGGGCTTAGGTTTAGGATTCAGGGCTTGGGGTGTAATTAGTTCCAAAGATTTGCAATATCCCAGCCGGTACGTTCCATTCCTGTCAACCAATACGGAGTGCTTCTCATAGTATGAGGCATGCTCTCAACTCCTAGTATCCCTCTTGATACCCCCTATAATATTCCCCTATAGAATTCCCTATATTGAGTTTATACGATAGCTCATATTCAGGTTGTTTCGTTCACAACTAGAGTCTTCTCACTCCAAATGCCCATAGAGTTAAGAGGCCTTTCCCCACGACTCTGTAGCGTGATCCCTAAAGCCTATCAACTGCCGTAGCCCGCAGCCGCATTCGTGCTGAGCCCGGCGCCCCAAATCCTTACCTGGTGTTCGATCCTTATAAATGCGGAATGCCCAGGAACAAACTGCGGAGTTCTGTGTGCAGCTACTGAATAACAGGTAGCATTACCTTGCCGTGGCTTGTCGGGAATGAGGGAATATAGTCCCTATATAATCCCTATATATATTATATACTATGTTCCCAACCAGCAATTAAAGTCTTTATCATCATCCTGAACCACTTCCTCACCACCCAAATAAGCTAAACATCTCGTACAGTCATACAGACCTCCATGGAACGTATGGAACGCCATGGAGGCCTCATAAAACAGATCTCAGAAAACTTCCCTAAGCTCTAACCCTGAACCCTTAGCCCCCACACCCTGAACACCTCCTAAATCCCTGAACCCCAAACCCTTAGCACACCTCGGAGCTCTTCTGTCGCGGCGCCGCGACGAGACAGCAAACTGCCGCGCGGCCGTGCTGGCGGCGCGGGGCCCTGAGGGCTGCGACTACTTGGAGGGTCAGGGGGAATTATATAGTAAGATATAGCAAGTTAGGTTTAGGATTTAGGGTTTAGGGTCAGAGGGGCTTAAACTTAGTAAGTAAGTTAGGTTTAGGGTTTAGGGTCAGGGGGACTTAGCAAGTAGGTTTATGATGGGGATAAGAAGGGTTCCTATATGAGTTCTAGAGGTTATTAACCTAATTGCTAGGTCCCCCTGACCCTCCAAGTAGATACTGCTGCTATCCTTATACTATACTAGTAATGATCAAAGCTTTAGCATGCTACCAAGTTCTTGCATGCTGCCCTAGCTCGATTGAATTTCAGCTACCGCAAGAACCACTCGGATTGCAGTATTGGGCAGCTCGGACCTGAAGAAATACTGAATACTTGGGTATGCGGGAGCATGGTAGTTTCCCAGAATAAGGGGACCCCAGTACGGAACCCAATACATTTTAATCTTTATATGGGGACCCCCAAAGAAGTACCCCTATTTTAGGAAATCCCCGTATACTAAAATTCCTACGGAGTCCTTCGGCTGGATTCTAAGGATTTGGGGCCAGTTCCTTTGTCTAGGCATCGTCTACCTGCCGTCAGCAAGTGAGCTATAGTCTAAACTCCGAGTATCCCTGTGAGTAGCCCCTATAACAGTTCCCTATATAATCCCTCATATAACCTTAGTAACGCCCATAACAGTCCCCTATATAATCCCCTCTCTCTCTCTCTATATATATATATTATATACATATAATAGAATTACGCCCCTTTGAGGAGTTTAGACCCTAAACTCTAAACCCTACATAACCCTATATTGCCACATATAATCCCCCCATGTAACCCCACATTAGGGAGTTTAGACAATGGCTCAAAACCTTAAACCCTAAACTCTTAAACCCTAAACCCCCTATAGGCCCTAAACCCTAAGCCCTATAAACCGTAAACCCTAAACCCTATAGACCCTAAACCCTAAACCCTCAACCACATCAAGTACTTCCGAGCTCGCCGCCAGCCAGCAAAGGCACCAAGGCAGGACGAGGCAGAGCAGCTGCCTCAGCTCAAGCACCCCAAGGTGGGATTTGGATTTAGGGTTTAGGGTTTAGGGTTTCGGGTTGAGGGTTTGGGGTTTAGGGGTTTGGGGTTTCGTGTTGAGGGTTTGGGGTTTAGGGGTTTGGGGTTTGGGGCTCAGGGGTTTGGGGTTTAGGGTTTGGGGTTTAGGGGTTAAGGGTTTAGGGTTTGGGGTTTAAGGGTCAAGGGTTTAGGGTTTGGGGTTTAGGGCTTAGGGGTTTAGGTTGGGTATTGCCCCCAATCATTAACAGTTGAAACATATTTGCAATATGACTACCTAGACTCTTTAACATGACCCCTGTCTTGGACTGTCAATGGGTGGGGGCAGGACCCAAGGTTTAGGTTTTAGGGGTGTAAGGCTCAGGGTTCAGAGTACATGGAGTTCAATAGCCCTGTGAGCAAGATGAAAAGCCTGGCGCCTACAATATATACATACATATATATATATATTACACATGTCTGGAAAGCATCATGAGCAACGTTGGTGAGAATGGTTTTAGCTTCGAGCTCATATATATATATATGATGGGATGTCAAAATTATGGTCCCTTTTTGGGTATACTAAACACTAGGTGCCGTACCATAATGGGTACCCAAAAATTGACCAAAAATTTGACAACCACCCATATACACACTTTGTCACTGGAGCCTTGACTCGCACGCCTACCGACATCACACTCTAACATCCCAACAGACACCTAAAATGGCAGTTTCCAGAGAAAATGAGTAGGGGAACCCAAACAAATATGGACAGTCCTCATTGTAGAGACACCCAGAAAGGTACCCCTTCTTCTGGGAAACTCCCACATAATCATTTGGAGGTACGAGAAAGGCGGGGACTAACATGTAGGCACGGTCGGCAAGGGTAGTGTTGGCGACTTGGGGTTGCTTTAGCACATTGAGGGCACAACATGGGGGGGGGGACCTTGTAGGGTCTAGGGTTTAGCGTTTAGGGTCTAGGGGTTTAGGGGTCAGGACTGGACCCCGAAAGTAGGTGAAGTAATGGCCCGAAACCCCGGAACATAGTCAAGAGGCCCGTTATTCTACGCGCGGGAAAGCATCATAGTGAAGCAGCACCCGTATCCAATGTGAGATGGGGCTACTTGGCGGACGATGGAACTTACACTAGCATTACGGGCAGCAAGTTCCAGCCTCGTCATAAAACAGCATGCCTCTGCGCAAATACCTTTGCAAGAACGTAACCCTCCCTGTACATCCCAAACCCAGGACCGATCGCTCCCCCAAGACAAACGTGGAACTCCCCCAAACAAACATGGAACTCCCCAACCCCATTATAGTAGTCTCCATTTTCTTTTCCACTATCCCTATACAACCCCCTATATGAGCCACAGTCTAAACTCCTAGTATCCCCCTTAATATCACTTGAATTAATTTAAGGTTTTGGGTTTAGGGTTTCATGTTCCTTGAGCCACATTTGGAGACCCCAAGTTTCTGGAAAAAAACCTTAGATAATGTTCCTTGAGCCATATCATATAGGGTCTAGGTTCTAAGGTTTAGGGGGCCCATATTTTAGGACTGTACCTGAAGTGATGTTAGGGCCCTTGACGTCGCTTGAAGCATTGTTCCTGATTAAGGAAAAGCAGCTCCTAAACCCCAAAACCCAAACCCCAAACCCTAAATCCTAAACCCTAAACAGCTAATCATCCCAAAAGCCCTAAGCCCTACAACCTAAAACCCAAACCTTAAAACCTAAACCCTAAACGCTAAAACCGAAAGCCTAAACCCTACAGCCTAAAGCCTCTAAACCCTCAACGTCAAACATGGGTCCCAGGCAAGCAAGCTTGCCGCATGGGCCCTGCAACAACAGATCTGACCTGAGCTTTGCCGAAGCTGCACACTGCTGGTTTTAGGGCTCAGGCTTAGGGGTTTAGGGTTTAAGGTTAAGGTTTTGGGGTTTTAGGGCTGAGGCTTAGGGGTTTACGGTTTAGGTTGTAAGGTTATGGTGTTAGTTAGGGTTTAGGGCTTAGGTTTCGGGGTTTAGGGCTTAGGCTGTAGGGTTCAGGGTTGAAGGCCTAGGGCTGTAGGATGCCGGTGATTCAAGGGTTCCAGGGTTGTAGCACAGGGACCTATAGATAGTTTGCCACCTTATGAATTTGAGGTCCATTTGAGGTCCCCTGCACCATAACTATACAAGGAAGCTGGGACTTTCATGGGTAATTATCCCTATAAGTCCCTAGTTCCCATGTCATTTTCCATGTTCTGTTCCATTTGATTCTCCATTATTGTGGTAAGATCCAGAAACCCCAAACTCTATTTAGCTTCTTTTCCCTTATCTCTGTAAAGCCCCGGCCCTACAGCCGGATTCTGAAATATGATTCTTCAAGGTCATAATACTTGCATCTTAGGGTTTAGAGACTTAAGCATTTGCCATCAAACATCTTGTCATTTGGTTTCCTTGACCGTGGTGTACGCATGATACAGACGTCTTCCAGCCTGACGCGGTCATCCATAGGAACCGGTTTTGTCTTCCTGCCCTCTGACATGTGGGAACCCTGACAGCAGCCTTCAAGGTTGGGACCCACCAAGATCTGAGGGTGTATGTTAGACTGTATTACACTATATCATACCATATTTGTACTATAACTACAATATACTATAATACACGTTTGCACTGTGATTCTGAATCGTGACAGATCCCTCTCGAATTTATGTCCCTCGCATTGTCCGTATCAGCACTACGTCTGAGCTGTCTACCCGTCACCTCACGTCCAACGTATCGATTTTTCGCGCGTTCAAGTGCCTTCGAAACCAATCATGCAGGATCCAGATCGACAGGCCGAGAAGACTTTCAGTCAGACTGCTTCTTGACGCCGATGGCGGGCATGTTCTCATCACTGGGCCACTTCCATGCATCCGAGGGGGATGAACGATCTATAGCGTCTTGCGCAACTTGCTTTGCTAAGCTGACGATGTTGTCGTGGTCCTTCACTGTTCCTCTACCAACAAAACAACAGTTATCAATTGCTGGCCCCAACCTCATAGGACTGACGAAAAATACCAAAATCAAAATCAGAACCGACTTCCGAAAAGGTTTAGCGTCTTCAAGTCCGTCGATAAATCTCTGGGGAATGCCTTTGAGGCCAACATGCGCCCCAAGGAAGGCACCGACGAGGCTTGTCCGCATGGTGTTTTGTCCTTCTATGGTTCAGGGGTTTAGGGATTTAGGGTGACTCTAAGGGATTTGGAACCCCAGTAGAAATTATAATTTCAGCTAAAAGTTAGGATTGTTGGTAATAGAAATTAACGATTATTTTCAGGAACCTTGTAGGTGAGACGCTTGAGTTTTCCCATGCAAGGCCTTCGAGCCATGGACCATGGCAGTCCTAATAGCCACACAACATCAAAATGATGCTTCCCTAAGGATCCAAATAGCCCAATGTAGGTAATATAGTGTTTAGGGTTTAGGGGTTAGGGATCCAAACAGCCCAATGTAGGTAATATTTAAGGCCCAATCTAGGTATTTAATCGTATACTTGGATCACTAGGCCTGAGCCTTAGCAGCATCCTTGACGCCTGCCCCTGAAACCAATATCCCAACCTCATATACTCTAATGACTATTACCAGAATTACCCAGACCCCCTAAAGGATCCCCAAAAAATGGAGCCCCTTCATAATCCCAGAGGTTCCCCAATGTAGTAATGGAACCATTTTTTGGGGGGTTCCATTTTTTGGATCCTGTAGGGGATCTGGGTATTGGGTACATGGACCAGTTGGGTAAGGACCCCGTCGCTGCGCCTCCACCATTAAGGCTGCAGAGGACAGCCTTCTCGAAGTCGTCCGGGTAGCGCGCGGCGCAGTAATAGGCCGACCCCAAGACGCCATAGAAGGCCTACAGTTTCCCTAGGGATTCAGGGTTTAGTGTTTGGGTTTTTTTTTAGGGATCCAAGTTTAGGGTTTAGGGTTCAGGGCTCAGGGTTTAGGGCTTAGGGATTAAGGTTTAGGGTTGACCGATCCAAGTGTACAAATACTACCAAGAATGGAGAATCAAATGGAAACAACATGGAAAATGAAATGGAAACTGGAGTTATAGAGGAGCTACCTACATTGGGCCCTGAAGCTGTAAATATTACCTACATTGGGCTATTTGGATCGTCAGAGTTTGCCCAAGGATACCTAAGGGCTTCTATACTTCCTTTTGGGTCGGTTGCGAAATCGTCGGAAGTATACTACCCAAGGAGGAACTACATGGTAGGAGGCTCTCATCGGTGTTTAGGGCTAGGGCCGTCGGGAACGTTGTAGGCCTGTGATGGGATTGAAAGCCTCGTTCCGATCAAGGTAAAGTAGCAACCAAAACGCTAAACGCAGGGTTGTCGAAAACGGCAAGGGTGCAGTGACCCTCGTTTGACTCTTGATGTTCCTCAACGTGCTCCACAAAGACTACCTTGAGGCTTAAGGCCCTATAATATCATAAACGCCCCCAGCACCCTAATCCCTTATGCGATGCCAGGTGGCACAAAACTTGCCGTAGAGCTCTACACCACGATGCGCAGGTTCGATGCCTTCACCGTCCAGGGCTTTAATGTCTGCACGGTTTACGTCAAACGTCTGGGGTCAAGGGTTTTGTCATATCCTACACCCTGAACTCCAAAGCCCTAACCCCCAATAACCCTTTATAAACGTGGAATTCAATGTCTCAGCATTTGTGGCGCACGACCAATGCCTTTTGCACAGTTCTCCACGCCCTCGGCAAGCAAGCCAAACCAAAGCAACGAGTCCTTGCTTGCTTTTGGACCCCCTGCTTCGTGGAAATTTGTCGTGGCCAGGTTGGCAGGACGACACACAGACTCGGGGCTTAATTTAGCAATAGATGAAGACGACCTGAGTCAAGCAGCGGAAAAGGGCATGCCTGATGAATCTTGCTAGGTACTAGATCGCCGCTGGAGCCTGAGGAGCCCAAAATATTAGTAGAATATTGTTGGGGTTATGTAGGGATAATGGAAAAGAAAATGGAAACTACTATATTATAATAAGGTATATATTGGGGTTATATTCCCAATTAAGTGAACTTATAAATCAAGTTCAAACTCAGGTCCAGGATCAGGCTCTGTGTAGTCGCCGTACTCCTCGTCGTGATCCTTGTCGCTGTGGACAGATGAGAAGGGCAGTGGGTCGCCGGCTTGTGTGTACATGATCCTTGGCTGAAGGATGCCCCGGCGGGTCACAAGGAAGGAAAACTAAAGATTTTTTAGTGCCCTACGTTGGGTTATAGGGTCCCGTATGGTGGGTACATAGGCCTGAATAGAAGAAATTGGAGGGCACAAGTACTGTAAAATGTGTTTACTGAGCCAAGGAGTTTCCACGAGAGCCCTTTGTCCAAGGGCAAGCCCTGAATGATCCCAGCCAGCAAGCAGGCGAAGGCCACGGAGTGTGCCTGCACGCTACTGTCCCCAGTAAAGGCCTTTGAATGCGCCTGCACGTGGCAGCACATAGCCTTGGGTAAGTTGTAGGAGCACATATCTTGTTCATCATTCACTTTTGGAAAGCCTTACTGCCCAAAGGCCTCATAGAAGAACTGCCAGGGTGCTGGGACCATTCTTTAGTGTTGCCAAGCAGCGCGGGGGCTCAGGAAGTAAGATGCTGCAATGAGAGCTCCCCGGATGATGGTGTCCGGTGTGTCACTGCGAGGGAGCACACATTCTTCCCATGGCTTTTTGCGGACGACGCGCGCTTTGTAGAAATCGCAGATTGTCTTGTCCTTGCCCAAAGGGTCCATGTAGTTATGTAGTATATACTTAAGGCCCAGAGGGGTTCCCCATATAACTGCTTTAGGGCCCAAGTTTAGGCTGCATAGCTACATCGACCTTTTGGGACTATGAACAGCACAGCGTCTGTCCAGCCATACTTTCCACCTAAGCCCTATTAACCCTAAACCCTAAACCCTAAACCCCTAACCCCACATAGTAGCTTCCATTTTCTTAACCATTATCCCTATACCCCATATTATCCCCTGGAAAAGTAGTTTCTATAAAGCCCCCTTTCCCCGCAAAGCGTCTGTCCAGCCATACTTTCCACCTTGGCGTGTTCCGTCCATGGTGTCTTCCCGCAGGATCTCTTTTTCAAAGCGATCGTGGAAATCCCCTTGATCCAGGCAGCCCTTACCTTGCACCATGCGCGCTTTAGGGTGTAGGGTTGGGGGGTTCTGTTCTAAAAGCCTGCCGGCAGCATGTTGAGCTTGCTTTCATTCATGCTTACAACCAGGCACGTGTCTTTCGTTTTGATTCGTTAATTGTTGGTTCTGGCAGGTTGTTCATTCCTTTCCTATTCGAGGAGGGTGCGGCCGTTAATTGCAAACTCTTACAGCGCTACACTTTCCGGCCATGCTTCCTGAAGTCTCAGAGTCCATGGCAGCACCTCACTAGGGCCTCACATCATATTCAACATATCAGAACCCTGAAAGTCTTCCCGAAGATTAAGAGGCCCACTTTAGAAAAAGAAAGGACTTCTCCAGTGTCCAGGGGCTGCTTCTTGCCCAAGACTCACATAGGAGCCAAGAACAACTCTTCCTAAATCCCTATAGACCCCTATATAAGCAAGCAGAAGCTAACCCCACACCTCATACCCTATACTCCCCCCTACACTTTCACCCCATTTTTCAAACCGCCTAACATTTCAACCCTTAAATCCCTCAAAACACAAAGCACCTACCAAAACCAACACAATAATCCCGAAAACAAAGCAACCCACCAACCCCAAACAACAATCCAGAACACAACCCAAAACCCAAAGCACCTAAACAATA